CTGCTTCACGCTCCTCGGCCGCCACAATGTACACACTGGAGGCGGATCTTGTGCAAGTGCGTCCCGTGGTCCCTAGACAGTCTTCTCTGCAAGTGTGTGTGGTCCAGCGTCCCGTGAGCCCTAGACAGTCTTCACTGCAAGTGTGTGTGGTCCAGCGTCCCGTGGTCCATAGAAACAGTCTTCCCGAACCTAACTTGAGAAAGCTATTATATTTCCGCCCACCGTGAGCATTGTTATGATAATAAATCTGGAATCATGTCATTACTGGTACGGAGGGAAGGATTACGGTGATATATTCATAATGAACTGCTGGTCTGAACAAAAGCAAAATGTAGGAAAAGTGTTGAGTGTACCGAGTGATATTGAAGGTAAATGTTAGCAGAAGTGGTCTTAACATTTTTTGTTTGTCTTATAATTGAAAAATCATTAACATGGACGTTGTGCAATCCCATCTCTGACGTCCGCAGTGAATTCAAGATTGCACAGAATTTTAGTATCCACGAATAAGCTCAAAATCCTGGTAAAATGAAAATGGCAGTTAAAGTCCCAATTTTCTAGCAGCAGTGTGAGAGTGAGTGAATGAGTGAGTGAGAGTGAGAGAGTGAATGGGGTGTGGGTATGCGGCGGTGAAGGGGCAACTTGCAGTAAGGTTATACCAAGGTCAAACGCATGCTAATAAGGCCTCGCGGGGTAAAACAGGAGCAGGTCTTTGTCGCTGGGGTCCTCGTCCGGTTCCCGTTGCTGCCTGGCCTCTCCTGCCGCCACACCCTCCGCCCTCTTCTGGTTTTTTGCCGCCGCCTACACCCCCCATCCCCCATGCCACGCCCTGGATTTCTTTCTCCCTCCTTTTCCGTTCGTTCTATCCATTATCTACACTCTATCCAGCTTGCACTGCTTCTCTCATTCTTCTCGTCTACTGTCCTTGTTTCTCCTCCCTTTATTCCACTTCCTGTATCCTGCTTACTTTCTTCACTTGCCACACCCTGTCTGCACCTCCTCCTCTCCCCAAGCGTCGCCCTGTCCTGTTTGTCCCATCCCCTCCCCTCCCTAACCCCACCTGAGCAGCACCACCACCACGCCCTGTTCACACTGCCTGCCTGGTGCTTCCCATCCCTAGGAACCTTCACACTTACTACACGGTACTTATACCTATATATCTACAGCATGGTACCTCCATGCCAGCTCAAAGCATGGTACCTACCTCCACGCCCTCCCACAGCATGTTACCTACCAGCTTGCAACCTGGTACCTACCTGGCTGTAATACTTATGAAAAGCCAAATTGAGAAGAGAGGGGTAGCGACAGTTCTGAAAGCCACATTAGAATTGCATTAACTACATGTTCAGAAAGTTTGCACACGCATCTTATCTGGGAAATGGGGCGAAAATCATCAGGGGAAAAGTCCCTTGCATTCCGGACTTCTGATTAGCAAAAAAACTGTCTTGAGCCAGTCCACGGGGACTGACGGCACCTCCCAAATGTGATTATAGTTATTTTGTATATACTGATAAGCCACACTGAGGGAGATGACCAAACATCTCATGATGAATACTACCCGAGCCCCCCGTGGTAGAACTGCAGAGGGTCTGGGAACACTGGAGTTCCAATATTGTTAGACTTATGAGTAAGGAAAGTAGGAGGAAGACGAGTAGTGGAGCTAACGGTGGAAAAGTGTGAACAGTTTATTCATGACCAACGACAAAACCATGGAAATGGAGGACAGGTGATATGTCTGGAACAAATTTACCGGCAGCCTTGTGAATTTTCTCCCAGATCTGAGAGGAGTGTAAACTATATTGGTGGAAACAAGGTTTCCAGCTCTGATACTTAGTTGTACAGAATGGCCCATCGTACTCCCCTTCTGAAACAAAATAGAAGAATCCGGGGTCTGTCGGCATTTGAGTCTTTTTTCCAGGCCACATTCTTGCAGTGTACAGCCGAAGCACATTTAGAATTCCACAAGGAATGCACTTCTGGAATGTCAAGGAATAGAGTGGAGGACAGCATCTAAAAAGGCATCATGAAAAAGGAAGGGGCTCAAGGAGAGTCTAGAAAAAGTAGCATGAAGGGTGAATAGATTTCAGTAAGCCTTATCAAACTGCCACCGAGGGAAAGAGGGAAGGGCTGAAACAGGGGGTTAAGAGGATGGGATATGATCACTTATGGAGGTAATCGAGGACTTTCCACGACATGGAGGAGGTGCTCCTCCATGTCGTGGAAATGATCTCAGTGCTCCTCCATGGACATAAATGGAGGAGCACTGAGATCATTACAAGAAAGGGTGTGGGATTCAACACTAGTCTGGTCACCGAAATTCAAGAGAAACAATGGAGAAAAAGACTAAAGTTTCTAGAAGACGTACTTGTGTATTCGTCAAGAGCATCAATACATCACTGCATAAAATGGAGAACAATATATTTATGCTAAGGGGGACAAACATAACAATTAAATGTATAAATAATAGCCAGAAATATTCTTCAGCATGCAATATCATAGAATGAAATTAATTATTGAGACATGATCAATATCACCAGAACATGGATTAATCAATAGTTATACGCAAATCATCTAACCAGATAATTAACATTTATATGGGCTAAAATAACAGTGACCAATGACTTAACTTAAAACACGACTCCTCTCGACAACAGCCACCACACTTCTGCACACGCTTTGGTCCGCCGGCCAAGCGTCTACCAAAAAATCAACTAAACATCCACATAAACATTGTGGAAATTCTAATAACAAAATGTAGTACTAATATTCAAAACATTATCAATCTAAAGAGTAGTAAACACTGGTACAACATTCCATACAATAATACGGCAACCAAATATGGGAATTAATCAAGGTAAAACTATAAACACTCGAGTGACAACAATGTTCCCACACTGGCCACATCCAAATATGGTCAACCGTCCATACGGAGAAACTACATGAGAACTCTAACATAAAAGCCTCATACAATATAATGCAACTCAGGCACACTACAGCATGCTATAATATATAACATACAAAATCTTATATCATACAATTGGATGCAATATTAATTATAGAACAAGACAATAAAGTAATATGAGAATCAAGAGTAATGGAAGAATCCTAGTAAGATTCGTAACAAAGGCCAACATACACAAGGCTTATAAGAAGGGATCGAAAGGCGACGGAGAACATTAGTGGAAAGGGAGGTGATGAATCGGCAAAAACCTTGGTAAAAGAATAGGAAGATTGGAAATGCGTGACCCGTGAGGAATACCCGTGGACCGAGATCATAGGAGGGGAAGAGGGTAATCTGGTGTAGGGTTGAGGTTAAAGGCTTGGAAATGGTTGTGGAAGCGAGGAAGGGAAGAAGAATGGGGGAAGTAGTTCAAAGCAATGCACGAGCACATGTCATGTCAGAGAAGATCAAGACGGTAGATTTGGCACTTAGCCGCAGGGAATGATATAGAGTTGCAATATTTAAAATCGAAAATGTTTTTTTAAAATTAGAGGGCATGCACCCTTCAGAGAAGGAATGGAATCAATGGCATGCTGCGGTTGATGCAGCGAGCTTAAGGAGAAGTGCAGTGTTACTATGACAAGGATCATCACACAAGGAGCACACACACTTGCTACTGCACTTCGAGGAACCATGTCCAACACCTATTTCAGAGACGTTGAGAGAACATTTCTGAACACAGCATCTGACACCGGCAATAATTAGGAACTTAACTATTCGAAAAGTGGGGGGGGGATGACAACAGACCATGAGGGGGTCGAGCGACTCAATCCTGGAGGATAGATTGACCTTTGGCATCGAGGACATTAAATATCCTCATGGCAGTCCGAGTTATATATAGTTGCACCACGACTGTCCATACTGGCATGTAACTAATTAGGATCTCCAAAAATGCCTAGTCTCGCCATGCAGGGCGAAGCAGCAAGGTGGGTGCCTCCCGAGAAAGGAACCACGACACGCGTGCCAATCTGGGTGGGTTAAAACGTAACATGGGAATTCAGTCTGTATTACACGCTTATAGATGTGTAATTCATCAGGGTGTGTATGTTCATGCGTGTACAACAAGTGCGGCGACTGCCGTGATCAATTGTACGCGTTATTGGGTTTCTGCCGAAATTGGGAATATTTTATTTTTCCCGGCAGTGAAAAATTTTGTACATAACTTTGAATTCAGTTTCCTAAATATTTTCAGTGTCGGGCAGTGCCCAAAACCGCCGTGGTGGCCAAGTGTTGCCCTGCTATGCCGTTTTCCTTTGAATTCTGGCGACCCCGCCCAGCCTACGTTCATCCCAAACCCCAGAGTCACCGCCAAATCTTAGTTTGGGTTAAGTAATTATCAAAACGAAGGCACCAAACCGGTAAGGTTATGTAAACTAGGCCCAAGAGTTTGGCCTCCAAATTGAGAACAGCCTAGTATAGAGGGCTTTTTTTTGGGGGGGGGGACCAAGAAATGGCAAATGGAGAGAAAAAAAAAAATTAATTATTTGCCGTTGCGATTCAATTAAGGTTCATTTTAACCCCTCCTATCATTAGGAAGTGAATCCAGGTAGATCACGGGAAAATCGTTTATTATATTTTTCACTGTACTAGATGTGGTTCATCAGCGTTTTGCCCCTTCATGACCCCCAAAAGGTCAAAGTGACTCCCTCCACCCACTTCCCCACAGAGGGTGTCTCAAAGTACCACTAATGTGGCCGTAGGTCGAAGCTTCCATTACTCGCTCCTTCCCTACTCCCCACTAAACATGCTGCCTAGTGTTTGGCCTCCAAACAAAACTTTATAACCTCATGGATTAACAGAATTTATGAACCATACCAGTGCTGCACGAACACTAATTATACACCGATTTAATAGCTAGTTAACGAGAGCAAGTGAACTTTTTATATCAGCGTTCTTTCCTAGACAATTAAAATGCGAGGCTTTATTGTAAAAATGCCCTTAGCCTAATATATTGAGATAGAATTTAATAATTGCAGAATCTTATTGTTAAGCAGAGATAAACTTCCTCTTTAAAAAAAAAATTAGAGCTTTATTAGTAACAGCAAATACATCAAGCTTTACAAACGTGTGTAGAAATACCCAATTACGCTAGGCCTTTATCCGCACAGGGTTAAGGCTGCAGCTTTTGTGTGGAACTCTCCGTTTCCAGAGGTAATGAAGACACCAAGCAGATACACGAAAACACACCTAATGATGCCAAAAAAATTGATCAGAAACCATATTTGCGTGTGCACAGCTTTACCGTCTAAAGAAGAGATCCTAATATAAGTAGGCTAAACAAGTTATTTGTGAGCTAGGCTAGTCTTACACCGCGCTAGTGGTGGGGACCCGTCGACTTCAGAATCTACCAGCCAACGTACTACAGCGGCAATTATATGAAGTCGGCAGAAGTTTTGACAAAAGGCGAGAACAGGAAAGTTCTCTATTCTGGTGTGGCGGGGCTCTAATATTGTGCACATGGGTTTTTATTTTAGTAAGTGTAGACCGTGGTATGATGCGTCGTTGTAGAGGACCGAGTGGTATAGCCTGGGATGGTGTATTCCGTAGTATAGTGCATCACTGTAGAGGATCGAGTGGTATAGCTTGGGATGGTGTATTCAGTCGTATAGTGCATCACTGTAGAGGACCGAGTGGTATAGCCTGGGAGGGTGTATTCTGTAGTATAGTGCATCACTGTAGAGGATCGAGTGGTATAGCCTGGGATGGTGTATTCCGTAGTGTGGTGCGTCCCTGTAGAGGATTGAGTGGTATAGCTTGGGATGGTGTATTCTGTCGTATAGTGCATCGCTGTAGAGGACCGAGTGGTATAGCCTGGGATGGTGTATTCTGTCGTATAGTGCATCACTGTAGAGGATTGAGTGGTATAGCCTGGGATGGTGTATTCTGTAGTATAGTGCGTCGCTGTAGAGGACCGAGTGGTATAGCCTGGGATGGTGTATTCTGTCGTATAGTGCGTCGTTGTAGAGGATTGAGTGGTATAGCTTGGGATGGTGTATTCTGTCGTATAGTGCGTCGTTGTAGAGGACCGAGAGGTATAGCCTGGGATGGTGTATTCTGTCGTATAGTGCGTCGTTGTAGAGGATTGAGTGGTATAGCCTGGGATGGTGTATTCCGTAGTGTGGTGCGTCCCTGTAGAGGACCGAGAGGTATAGCTTGGGATGGTGTATTCCGTAGTATAATTAGTCGCTGTAGAGGACCGAGTGGTATAGCTTGGGATGGTGTATTCTGTCGTATAGTGCATCACTGTAGAGGATCGAGTGGTATAGCTTGGGATGGTGTATTCTGTCGTATAGTGCATCACTGTAGAGGATCGAGTGGTATAGACTGGGATGGTGTATTCCGTAGTATTGCGAGTCTTTGTAGAGGACGGAGTTGTATAGACCGGGGTAGTGTATTCCCTCGTATAGTATATCGCTGTAGAGGATGGAGTGGTATAGACCGGGGTGGTGTACGTGGGCATAGCATAGGCAGAAGAGGTAGACATTGGGATGTAGGCGACATCACAGGGATGAAAGGTGCAGACTGCTCCTCCCCGCACACACACGCACCAGTTGCAAGCATCCTTGGTCCACCTGGAGCCGTCCGTGCAGGCGTCACTACCAAGTTCCAGCACATAATCTAGACAACAGGGAGAGCGCGTTAACCAGTGAACCTAAATAAGTTCTGTGCAAACTAGCCATTTTCAAATCTTTTTTTTTAACCAATTACTTTGTCTACAGGGAATTTGCACATTTAAAAATTTATGTTAACTATTTGCATTTTTAAATACATTAGGCACAAAACTTATCTCTGCAACAAGTTTGGCCGTTAGTAAGAATTTCCAATGACAAAATCCTTTCCTAGATGGAAGGCTTTACTGGTCTACTTTGATCGAGAATTCAGTATCAGATATGCCCATGCCTTGCAACACTTACGTCAATACAAACCAAGGCAGTCCCATAAACTAAATTAGTTCAAAGAAAAATTCACCAGGTCCCAGAAACTACTCTGAAGCAGTCTAGTTTCAAGCCGTTACATTATATCAGCCCGTCCTAATAAACAAAAAGTCAAAGTCCATGCCATGCATCCGTCATATACTAAAGAGGTTTATAAAGAGGTTTATAGAGGGGTTTATAAAGAGGTTATAAAAATACAACTAGTGGCTATGAATGAAAAACCTTTACACAAGACTACTGACGACTGCCAAACTCTTCCGGAAGAAGAGCTTTGCCGACTATTGTTTACACTACAACGCTGTAAATTCTTCAGCCACGTACTTCAAAATAAGAAGCGCTAACATAATCTTAAACCCTTAACCAATGCCTAAATATGACAATACATTAATTTATTTGAAAATTCTTACTTTGAAAGAACAGCATTTTAAAGTTTACCAATTCCTCTTTGGGGGTAGACCGCTGGATGGTATTTACTTTGAGGCCGGGCTGCTTTTATTACAACGAGATTACCAAGAGCTTAAAATTTTAGCTAGTAAATTCTTTATGGAATTACTCTAAACTATCACTTAAGAGACAAGCCATTTTAAGTTAGTGCTAAATTATTACTCACCAGTTTTGCAAAACATCTCTGTGCACAGCGCTCTGCCAGACTCCGTGCAGTTGCAGCGATTGCAGTCCCTAAGCCAGTACGACCCGGGGACACAGGTCATGTTAGCTGGCTCTGGGATTGGCGCCCACGAGTCTGCGAGCGCAAAGGAAAGCTTAAAAGTATCTTTCAGAGTTGTGAAAAGGCTTTTGTAGTAAAGTGCTTAGTGGCACCAAGCTTTTTTTTTTAATTTTAGATATTAAAGTCAAAATTTACTACATTAGGGTTAGATATATTTAAATTTGCACGATTAACTATTATAATTTGAACTATCCACTAGAACATACTATTGTTTAATGTGAAACCATAAAGCCTATCGACATCCTTGCAACCAGCTGTAATTTTCACTTAATCTGGTGTGCTGGGCGACACTAATAATTAATCCAAAATTTGCTTTTCCATTAAAACTTAATCCCTTATGAATCCATTCCTCCCCTTGTGTGTAGTACATGGTAGAAAGCTGTATTTACATATTCGTACATTGAAACATGTATACAGTAATGTAATGTAGTCAATTTTAACCGATATACACGTGCTTCAGCATACAGTCTAGACCTATCGTCTTTTGTATTAGCCTCAAAGCCAGCATTATACTCGTAACAAGAACTTAATTCAGATTTAGGCTGAAATTTAGTCAAGATATTAATACTTCTATTTTAGGTTCTTTGGTCTTTCTAGATTAAAATAAAAACCAGTTTTATTGATACTATATCCGTCTCAGAACAGCTCGGCAAGATCTAATAGCAATTTGATTTAAATCTTTCTTAGAGAAATTCTATGCAAGAAACTAATTATAGGCAGGTTACAGAGGGAACGAAACTAATTTCATTTATATCCATCTTTCTAGCATTTGAAGAAGCATTATAAACCAACCTAGTGTCCTGGCGAGGATTACCTTCACCTGCTGGAGGAGGACTTGCACCTCCACTAGCCAGGCCGCCAACTTCCTCTCCGTGGCTCCGCGACCCCTCATCATGCACAGGTCCCATGCACACGTTTCTGTAACCAATGAGTAACGTTGATAGAGGATGGTAGGTTATATTTTTTTTCGTAATGCCACTAAAGTTCTGATAATCTTACTATCATTCAGATTTTAAAAGTAGCAGTTTTGCTCGTCGCTTTTATAATGTCTTAAACTTTAGGCTATTTACAACTAAGGAAGGATTAATAAAATTTATAAAAAGTTCCTTGGGTACTTTTATTACCCTTTAACACTTTCCCCAACTATCACTCATTAAAGATTAGTTAGGTGTACTTTAATCCGATGCCACCAGAAACTACGAATTAGGGAAGAAACCGGGTTTAAATAAAGGTGGAAATTTAGTATAAAATTTACTTTAAACTTTGCCTTATAGGCCTGAAAGTTAATACCGTCTTTGAGAACTATCTAGTCAAATTTAGAGAATTCCATCCAAATAAACAGTTAAAGATATGGGTATACACGTTATATAACTAGGGCGACTTCCGCCAGATTTTAATTGTTCAAAAGTAAAGGTATAGTGTAGGAGAGATGCTTTAATTTTAGTGTATTACAGTAACCCTCGGGGACACGCAGGGTTAGTATAACTTGTCCAAATTAGTAGGGGAGCGCTAGGATCCGATCGTCTTTGGACCCTCTTGCATTACAGCAAAATTAATATTGGCCGACATTTCCATATGTGATTAATGTGGGATTTTGTTACAAGTTAACACACCATGAATTAAATTTTGTAGATTTACGTAGATACACCAAGACGTAACTACACCACCTACCACTAGTTCATAACTAGTGTTGCAAACTTTTCTGAAATAAAAATTTATTTAGAGCTTTACCTGTGTGCGAAACTAGCTGCTGGTCTCTGCCAATGATGGGGTGGAGCAACTGGCGGCACTTTAGTACGTCTTGAGGCACAAGAGTCTGGCATGGGTTTATCTGCAGAGGAGAGGTTTATCTAAAACAATTTCGCCTCTTGCTTAGCATTGCAATTAAAGAACTTCATTTGCAATTTCAATATTTAACCGAGCTGAAATTGCCAAAACATTAATGTAGGATAAATTTCAACTTTCGTTAAAACGTTTGCAGTGGCTCTAAAATTTAAGCGTTTTTAAAAATGTAAATTTCGTGGCATAACTATTTATCTATCTATACTTCTATTAAAAAATCCAAGCAACCCTTGTCTTAAAAGGTTACGTAGAAATTAAATTAAAAGCTTACTGCCGTTTCCGTCTCGCATCCGGGACATTTGTAACACCTCCGATCCGTCTGGTCTTCAGTCTGGAAGTTTAAATATTAAGATTTTTTTTTAAACCTAGCGTATAAACCAACTTCCCCCCCCCCAAACTAGTATGATCCAGCAACCAAACACTTTCAGCACAAGTGATCCACTCCCCAGTCAGCTGGCTTGAGCCAACCTTTACAGAAGGTTATCTCAACTTCCTGAACTATGATCAAGCAACCAACCCGCCACGACTCTGGGAAGGCAGAGGGCCAGAACTGTAGAGGATGGGCGAGGTCGTTTCTATCCGTGAAATCATCGTCCCTGTAGAAGTTGTAGTGGCCACAGAGCCCGTCCAGGTGATTAGTGTGGCTGGGGTACGCCCACACGTCCAGCCGGTGCAGACAGTGCTGCAGCTAAATTATCAAAATTTAATATTTAGGCAATAAACATTCATTGCAACTTTCTATAAAGCACTATGCAAATATATATTCATTCTGTCAGTTCTTTAAAACTACAACTTTAATAATTAATGCTGCAAGTAGATGTCAATATCATACTACGATCTTTGAGGACCCCAGGAGGTAGATGCAGCCTGCGTCCCGCCAGGCCAGCACTGGGTGCGGACCTGCCGAAGACTGCACTGGATGCGCACCACTGGCTGGGACTGTATACTGCTCTCCGTTCACGATAATCTGTCAATTATAACCATTATCCCACAAATCCTGAATTTAAGCCTACGTATCAGACTGTACGCACAGTTTTAGCAAGAAACACTAAACTTACCACAAACACAGATCCACTGTCAAGTGTGATAATGGTGTTGGGGTTGTCCCTGAACGTTGTGCGGGAGAGGCAGGAAGCTTGATTATTGCATTGATTGAAGTCGCTAAACACGCCCACTTCTGGAGCGTAAGTGAAGTCACTCTGGGCAAGAGAATAGTTGCAGATGCCGTGCCAGTCGTAGTTATAGTCATCGAAGGTCTTTATATGTGGGTCATTATACAGGTAACAATGTCTACCTGTAATTTAAGCACAATTAGTAAAATTTCTTAATGCGCACGATACTCTTCCATAACCAATGATAATTTAAAACCACTTCCACGTACAGCAGTCTTCTATGGTTGGTGTCGGGGTCCAGACGCCCGAGAGGCACCGTAGAGGGATGCACTGTGCCAGCAGTGTAGCGCCGTCCGGGTACATCAACCCATCAAACTCGCAGCCTGTTAAGTACAGGGTTGCAATCTAGTAATATAGCTAAAGATTTTGGCAAGTAGTTTATATGAAAGCTTCCATATATCAACACAAGTAGCAAATTTCTGACACTAGCCAAGCAGTGTTAGCACTACAGGAATGTTGCAGTTTTGAAGTACAAAGAGGACCAGAACACTTTGCAAGCTCAATGTTGCTAAGTATATCCAAATAGGAAGATCCGAAGAATTTTTTGTACATAAATTAAAAAATTATCCTGAGCAATTACTCAGGCTACTGTTAAAGCCGTGAAAGTAATGTTACTAACAGCTCTTATCACCCGGCTTTCCTACGTGCTGGCGCTGAATCAGGCCATTCTGGCAGACTAGGGAGGTGCAGCAGCTGGGGAGGGAGAGCAGCACCTGGCCGTGCTTCACCCTGGCGTCCCCGTAGCAGCACTCTCCGGCCGACGCTTCTTCTGCTCCGGCTCCAGAGAAAGTGAAAGTTTTAAACAATGTATTGCATTAATGCATTATAATATTTTAAAATTTTAAATCTAGTTCACGCATTCCTATAAATTAAACCAAATTTATATAACTTTCAAACCTACATTACACTAATGGATACATTTAAGTCTCAAGAATGTCTTTCAGCTTCATTATTAAAAATTAAGCCTGATTTTTTTTACCTGGCATAGAGAAGACCAGGAGTGCGAGAAGAGTATAGGTAGAAAAGCGGTGGAGCTCCATAGCTTTTATAGTCATCTTGGGAGAAGTAAATGCATAACGTTTTAGATAGGAGTTAAGACATTCAGCGGAAAAGTACTAAAATTTATTAGCCTTGTAACGAAAATGTTACAAATTACTCTTAAGATTAACAAAATTCAGTAGCAATTTGTTTACCAAGCTTTGTTATAGTAATTAACCATTATTGAAGTCTTGTGTAGAGAGGAAACTCCAATTACCTAGCCTAGCGTTTTAAAACTTTTTACTGTTAATAATCTTGTTGGAAGTCATGACTTGTGTAGGCCAGTTACAATAGATTAACTAGAAATTGTACCAAGATAATTTGCAAGGTGCACAGCCGTCCCTCCGAGAACTTTCAGCAAAGAGAAGTGTTAACTTACTAGTCAGTGTTTAACCACTAGTATACACTGCCTAATTTGCGATTTTGGAAGTTAGAAAGTAAATATAGGTATGGAAAAACCATTAACTAAAAATTATATCTACAGGAATAGTAACTTTGCAATTAAATGGTTAAAGTGCAATCAACTCACTGTGGCAGTTATTTTATGTCCCAAGGCTGTCTGGCTTTATCAAGTTATTTACATTCTGCCCAGTTAGGCGATTCAGGGACTTCTGAAGCACCCGCTACAGTACTGCTAGACAAAAGCAATTTCCGTTCAAAGCTTCTACAAATGGAGCTTTCGTTAGTACGACTAAGCTCCTAGCGACATTGTTAGTATTGAAGAGGTTTAATTTGTGATGCTACTAGATACTTAAATTTTTACGCGCTTTTGCTAGCATCTTAATAGAGTTCCTAGTACAGTACTAGGAAAAGCCGGCACAATTTAGAAACTTTTTTTTTATATATAAAAAAGGTACCTTCCACTATCCATTTAAAGTCTTAATTATAATACCAGGTGGGCCGTGTCACCTTCAACAGGTAAAGGAATCACCTCACCCCCTACAAGATTCAAGTCCAGCACAGTGTAACCATACTATTCTTACAAGTGTTACCGTGATGTAACTTAACGTAATTAATATAAAATTTACTCTATAGTTACAAAAGAAAATTTAACAGATGTAGATTAAGAATTTATTCTCAGTTATAATCTAGTGCAATTTTATTTTTTATCAGGCTGGAGCGTATGGGGCAAGTGTTATTACATATACTCTAGTGCAGGGATAGTTTTATGGCAAACTTTGGCTTCAGCAGGGGGTCTCCAGACGTCGTAGGTTGAGATTGTATATTCAACCCATGTTGTGGTTAGGAGGCAAGGTGCGCGATTTTTTTTTTACCCGGGTTGGGGGATCTAATCTTCGCATTGTTCCAATGCTTTCAACTTCGTTGAAAGTTGAAAACTTAGGCATTAACAGCAGAAACATTAGAAGCCTTTAAAATAACCCTTACTTCCTATTGCAGAATTGGCTCGAGTTGCTGGTATTCCAAATATGAGCCAGTCAAAGAGGGTCCTCTGCCAGTCAAAGACCAGGAGGGGGGGGGGGGGGGGTCTGCCCCCAACCCTCTGACAACTCAGTCAAATGGCCGCGCAAAGCGTCACGAGGCTACACTCGCGACAGCGTCAGGCCTCCAACTTTTATAGTTGGAGTGGCAACCGATCTTTAAGCTATGTTCTGCGCCGCGGCCGACCAAAACTATTAGGTTTCCAGGAATCAAAATTGCCTAGTTTGGCAAATTTCGGCAGAGATTTTAATAAAAGCGAAGCAATGTTAAAGTAAATTTCTCCGTTTGTGTTATTCGGTGAAGCGTCCGTCTTCCCAACCCTCTTCGCACTACTCAAACCGCATGGCGACCAATGTCTTGTTCAATAGGATGGATCCAGCAATGTTTCAGGGTTTTTGTTTTTGGCAATTTTGATTAGTTGGTGGAAGCTTAGAATAAAAGCCCATTGCCAATATTAAATATGGGGTAAAACCCGTGTGCACATACGAAACATTATATAAACATCGCCCTTCCTATTTGAGCTATAGTAGAAGGAAAGACATCTGCCACTCGTGCAAGCTGAAGCTTTTGAACCAATTAAAATTTGGGAAAGGGGGGGGGGGGAATATACAATTAACTTCGTCACCGTAAGCTCAATTATTGAGGAAAAATTGAGTGCCACAGCCATATTAAATAATCAAAGCCACAATCAAGCAACATGCCACCCACAAATGCTGTAGCGAAAAATAAACACTAACAATCAACTTATATAAGATTTGTGGAAGGAAGTAAACAAGAGTTAATCACTGAACAATATTCCAACCTAACTAGACGTCCAAGAACTTCGAGGGCCGAGCTGACGGACATTTAAGCTACCAATATTTTTAGAGACACCACAACCCCTCATTTTGGGAAGTCCCATACCTTTGATTACATCAAGGATAACAAAGTTTCATGTCAATCTTAAACTTCTGTATATGCCATAGAGTCCTGTGAAGCAGTTACACATTTGACTAAATACAGATCAATTACATTAAGAAAATACTACACTTTGCTAACGACGACTGTCAAGTAAAGATTATTTCGTTCAGTACATTGATACACTAAACGGTATTCAACACTAACAGCCATAAAACTAATATATTATAACAAACGAGCAAGCTTAAAGAAACATCACAGAACGTACCAACTCCCTGCCTATTGTCACCGACGCTGGACACTGCCAGACTGGCGGGCCTCACTCTCCCGGTACCCGACGAAAACATAGTTCGAGACGCTCCGATGTAAGGTTCAGTCATAGATCTGCTGAAGAGCAACAACGAAGCTGGAAGCCACTAGTCCAGCCTCAGAAGACCGGCCAATTGCTCGTTAACCAATCAACAAATCGTCCCTTTATGATCGAAAAATAATTTGCATATTATTTACAACTAATGTTTCTTAAACAATGCTCACTCATTTCCTCTTTCCGATTCGAACCTCTCTGAATAGTCTACGATCAAAACAAAGGGCTGGCGAGTTAACGACGTGATTATATATAATATTAACTGTCCCAATCGGTTCACCAACTCTGAATATGTCGCTTATGTTATTTTATTGAAATGTGCTTCTGGAGACAGGCTCTTTTTCTGATTCCGAGAGCTACCTTTCCCTTGTTGAGCCCTGGTGATGTGTGTGTGTGTGTGTACTCACCTAGTTGTACTCACCTAGTTGTGCTTGCGGGGGTTGAGCTCTGGCTCTTTGATCCCGCCTCTCAACCGTCAATCAACAGGTGTACAGGTTCCTGAGCCTATTGGGCTCTATCATATCTACACTTGAAACTGTGTATGGAGTCAGCCTCCACCACATTACTTCCTAATGCATTCCATTTGTCAACCACTCTGACACTAAAAAAGTTCTTTCTAATATCTCTGTGGCTCATTTGGGCACTCAGTTTCTACCTGTATCCCCCTAGTGCGTGTACCCCTTGTGTTAAATAGCCTGTCTTTATCAACCCTGTCGATTCCCTTGAGAATCTTGAATGTGGTGATCATGTCCCCCCTAACTCTTCTGTCTTCCAACGAAGTGAGGTTCAATTCCCGTAGTCTCTCCTCATAGCTCATACCTCTCAGCTCGGGTACTAGTCTGGTGGCAAACCTTTGAACCTTTTCCAGTTTAGTCTTATGCTTGACTAGATATGGACTCCATGTGTGTGTGTGTGTGTGTGTGTGTCTACCCCTTCCTCCGAGGGTCAAGGCAGTAGTAGAAAGCGCCACAATTGTTGTGAGCAAGAGAGAGATCAAAATGTATCACTCCACGACGTTGCTAGAGCACGATGTAAACAATGTCCGTCTATCGCAGACTTGTCAAGGTTCTCCCTGTGGGGTGGATTAATATTGACCTACAAACAAAGCATTCAATGCCTGACCTCATCGGCGCTGGTGTGCCTTTCATTACTGCAATAGATCAGTCTGGTTTGCTCGTGGCTGAAAGCTGTTTGTATTGCCGGCCGCCATTACTTCAGCCACATCCAAATCTCAGACTCTTTCACATTTCTTCTTAGCTCCTGTGTGTTACCCACTTCATCCAAGGAGAGAGTCTTTCCTCTGTCTTCCTCCCTCTCTCCTCTCCCACACCCCTCACCAGGCTTCCTCCCTACTCTCTCCTTCCCACCCCCACCTTGTCCACGCCCCGTCCCACTTTTAGTCCTTCCCAACTCTCCCGGCCCAAATCCTAGCCCGTCCTCGTCAACGAAGGACAAAAGCCACAACGCTGTAAATGCCTCACCCACCTACTACAAATATAAATAATCGCCAACAGAACCTAAATACCTAACCTAACCTATGCCTATATATGCACAATATACTAATATATTATAACATTAATTTATATTTGAGAAAATTCCCATTTTGAATGAACAGCATGTTAAAATTTAGGAATGAGTCTGTGGGGTCGATCGCTGGATGTAATGGACTTGAGTCGAGGACGGGTTGCTATAAACGCTTCACTCGCGTACTACAAATACAAATAATCGCCAACAGAACTAAAACACCTAACCTAACATTACCTATGCCTATATATACACAATCTATATAAATAAAACTGAAATGTTCGTTTGTTCCAAATCGCTAATCTCTGAAAGTTCTTCACCGATTGCTTTGAAATTTTCACACAACGTTCCATTCGCATCCGAGCGGGTTTTTATATACATATTATATAGATGTCACGTCTGTGACGGAAAAAAAACCATGTTTTTTTAACAAATCCACAAGGGCCGTGACGAGGATTCGAACCTACGTCCGAGAGCATCCCAAACGCTACTTTAATCTACTGAGCTACGACATGGTATAAGAATTGCAACCAGAAATTCTACTCCCCCATCCCCTCATCCTCCCCACCATTTCCTCCCTCCCCCATCCCTATGTCCTCCCCACCATCGATTATGAATGCGTCTCTGGGGTCGACCGATGGAAGTAATGGACTTGAGTCGAGGATGGGTTGTGTTACGAGATAAAATCCAGCTGACTGGTTGTGCCCCCCTTCTCCCCCCCCCCCCCACAGGTGGAATGGGCCATCATTACCAGCTGACTGGTCGTGACCCAAGCTAGACTTTCAGTCATCACCAGCTGACTGGTCAGAGACCCAGGTGGAACTGCATTGATTTTGATCCCGTGTGGCCAGTCATTCTCCTCCTCCTCCTTCCTGAGGGCCGCCCTTAACCTCCCTACGAGACAATAATTAATGGTTGACCGCAGTGGCTCAGGGGCGGCCGAACAGCTTTCTAGAGACAGTGTAGAGGTCCGACGTGGCACCTGCTGTGGGCAGGTGGAGTGAGGTCACACACTGTTAGTAAGCTATAGTGAGGTCGCTGACTGTTGGCAGGCCAAGTACCCCCTCTCCCCACTGTACCACCATAAAGCTGTTTAGTTGGGTTTATTTAATATTTTACATACAACGTGAGTCAGACAAGTTTTGAGAGGCGCCAGGATGTTGGCCTGTAGCCATTAAAAAAAATCACACCTAGAGGAGTTAATGACCACAAGTTGACCAAGGGTCAGGTCGTGTGACCTTGTAGACAGGTAGCTGGGTGTGTATTTCAAACAAGCCGCCGTTTAAGGTGTGGTAGATGGCCTGGGGCTATCTACTTAGTGGGCGGAGTTTAGCTACGAGTTCCTGCATAAATATCCATGGAACTGTACATTCGAGAACATAGCATAGCATAGGATCAGCAGAGTGGGGAGCATCAGCAGACAGCAGGTGAGACAGACTGTCGGCTGGACGGGGGGACTTTGCCTGTCAACTGTAGACCACCCCCCCCCCTCCTCCCTCTCTCTCTCTCTCTCTCTCTCTCTCTCTCTCTCTCTCTCTCTCTCTCTCTCTCTCTCTCTCCTCTCTCTCTCTCTCCCTCTCTCTCTCTCTCCCTCTCTCTCTCTCTCCCTCTCTCCCTCTCTCTCTCTCTCTCTCCCTCTCTCTCTCTCTCCCTCTCTCCCTCTCTCTCTCTCTCTCTCTCTCTCTCTCTCTCTCTCTCTCTCTCTCTCTCTCTCTCTCTCTCTCTCTCTCTCTCTCTCTTCAACTTAGGCTAAGACACTTGGGGAGTGTACATTAACGTCACTTATTTCGTGTTTCCCAAACTTAGGTGTTGTGTGATTATCAAGAGCCAGACAGTCGTAGTGCCCTCAAGGTCTTGTGTGGTGACTCACGTTGTTGAGTAATCTGGATATAGTGAACCTTATGTTCGATTGCTTGAATTCTGATATACTTATCATGTTAAATATACTTGGTTAACTTACGTTTAATTTAACTTTAATTGTGTTCCCTTAGATCTTGAATTTTCTGATGTGTTGCAAACTAGAGTATAGAGAACACTCTGAGCTCACTGACTTAAAGAATCTTGCATGGAACAAGATACATGATTCCAGTTGACACAGGCTAACAACATCTTTGATAATTTTGTGATAAAGACAAGTTCCATTCCTTGTCTTGTATGTAATGAACTAGAATGGATGGTGGCAGCTCTTTCACTTCTAATTCTACTCTTCTACCTTTCTACTACTCTACTAACTTCTACTTCACCCAGTGATCTCATTCTCTTCCTCCCTCTAACTTTTCCTTTTCCCCTAACCACTCCTTTCTTACTCCTCCCTCCCACCTCTCTACTTGACCACTCCTCACTACTCCCATACTCCTTCCTCACACCTCCCGCACCCTTCTCTTCCTCCCACGCCCCAAACCCTCACCCATTATTTTATTATTCTTTCTTTCCATTCCTTTTTATACATCCCATCCCCCCTCCCCCCATTACACCACCACCATTCCTGTATATAGATATCCATGAACGGGCACACAAATATAAACTCAAAGTAAACACATAGGCGACGGATAGAAATTGTATGTTTACATAGAGACAAGACCTGGGTATATAAACAGGGATGTGTACTGATGGAAGCGGTGCCCGGGCAGCACAACTGGGGCGGGCACGCTGCAGTGCTTCCAGTGAAGGTCACACTAGTGTGCAAATGCCTTCACTTGCGGCTCTCTGGAAACTTATTTCAATTTTGACCAGCTGCATTTTCCCCTCGACCAGTTTTCAATTTTCTCCTCGACCAGTTGCAATTTTCTCCTCGACCAGTTGCAGTTTTTCTGGTTTTTTTCAGTGCTGCTTACTATGGTTTACAGTGCTATAATCTGTGTTTGACAGTGCTGCAACCTGTGGTAGGTAGTGCTGCGATTTGCGGTTGGCAGTACTACTATTCGTTGTCGCTCTTGTCGCAAGGTGTTGTTGGCAGTGGTGGAAGCCGTAGTTGCTAGTGTTGCAAGCTGTGGATGGCAGTGTTGCAAGGAGTCAATTGAGGTGATGCCTAAGCCTTGACATTTCTTCGCATGACATCTGAAGGAGACGAGAAGAAGAGAGGAAAGGAGAGATGAGGAGGTAAGGGAATAGAGAAAAGGTGAGGATTGATGGGAAAGGGAAATGAATATGAGATGCGAGGGAATGAAATGGGAGTGGAGAAAAAGGGAAGGGAATGTGATACATGGTCGGGAGACAGGGAAAGGAGAACGAATGTTTGAGGCAGAGAAGGAAGGGAAAGAGGAGGGAGAGATAATGAACAACAGAGAGGTGTACGGGGTGTGAGAGAAAGGGCAGGATTAGAAATTTGACGAGAACATAAACACGTAAGATAAAAGGAAACTACATACGGCTTACATGTCGACTCATACGAGGCAGTTCGTATTTATATCCGACCAGACTCATTCCCACAAGTCTAGCCGT